GCCCAATCAGAGGGAAGTCCGCTGAACTCCCTGAAGCCATCGATTTCGGCTGCAGGAGCATGATAAAACGATAATAAGAACTTTACCACGGAACATGCTAATAGTTACTGACTCGATTAAAGGAAGTCATTATCAACTAAAGGAATGGGGCTGGTCGCACATATGAGGATGTCTAGAAGAACCTAGTGGAAAATACCTCGAGTCAAGTCGGGGTAAGAGGATTCAAGGACTTGAAGAACTTCGGGATCCTCACAAAGTGTGCCCGAAAGCAGCGCCTGGTTGTATACAGTCAAATCGATACCGAAAGGTGAGGCATTGGAATGGACAGAGCCCTCTGACTCGACGTTTCGACGAGAACACGGTTCGACATTGTTTTGATGAACAGAGTCCGAGCCCGAATAGTTATCGATTTCACAGGCAATAGAACTGGAGACGGGGTCAGAAACAGGGTCAAGATTGGAATCTAAAAAAAAAAAGAGAATGGCAATCAAGAAAAACTATTAGAAAGCGTGGCCGTGATTCGATTCAAAGAAAAGGGTCAACAAAATAGCTAGGATAGCGCAAGAAGCGTCTCGACAACGGGAAGAAGGGGAGAAGAAACGGGAAAAATATTCCCCATGTCAATTCGACTCGACAAAGGAAGACCGAGACAAGAAAGGAAAAAAGTCGATCTCTCACAACAAGACGACTAACAAAGGAAAACACTTGGAGGAAATAAAAAGCCTACAATCAAAGATCTAACAGGAAAATCACCAAGAAGATTCACATACAATTCCCAGAAAATGAAAGATGTTCTTATGCCCAGATAATTTACCCAGAAAAATAACAAAGGCGTTCTTATCTTAGAACATGAAAACAAGTCGAATAGGAAAATAAAACTTACTCATACTCATTATGGTTGACAGAAAGTCCTGAAAAATCTGAGAAGAACGCCGGAAAGTTAGAGCGCCAGAAAACTTGAGAAGCTGTGTTTGCCGGAGATAAACAGAAAGCTTAAAGGAGGTGAGTGCGAAAAGTGAGGATGAGAAAAGGTGAGGATTACTTATAGAGAGGGCAAAGAAACCCCAGCCCTCGGATTAAAGTCATTTTCAACGGCCAAGATGATGCACAGAATACAAAGCGGTGGAGAGAGAAAGTGTTATCTTTTGAATTTTGGAATTTGAAAAGATCCAGACTTATCCAGTCAGTTCGAAATACGATTGGGTGAACATCGCTTCGCAAGTCGCAGAAACGACCAGATATAATTTAGGGCAACGACAAACGACGGGGTATGGGAGAAGACTCGAGAAAGACATTCGACCGTCCCGAACTTACTCTTAAGCTCAGAATCGCTTCGAGTAAATTTTGGGGGGGACTAGATGATATAGCCATACTGTCGTGTAACGGTTCAATAACCATCGCGGTTCATAGATTACCGAGGCATCTCTCCCAGTCGACTCCCAGTCGACTTCCACGTGTCGACTAGCAAAAGTGGATTTCCTCTTGAAAGACAGTCAAACACGTGAGGATCTACTAACAATCGAATATGACCCCGTCGACTCGAGTCGATTGGATCAAGTCGACTGAGAAAGGTTGGAAGCCCATAAATCCTGATAGCTCTAATACACTTCAGCATACCGAAGGGGCAGCTAAGGATAAGGAAGGATCTAGAAGCTGACGAGGAAATGGATGGAATACGAACCGACCAGGGTAGTTTGGACATTTCCAGTAAGTCGGCCGGGGCATTTTGGGGACTTCAGGTGAATGTTCCATTTCTATATAAAGGAGCTGAGGTAACTCCAAAACCCTAACTCCCATTGATTATATACTTTCTCCATTACGGCTGCTGCTCCCTCAGAGCAGCTCTCTTCATCTATTTCACATACTGACTTGAGCGTCGGAGGCTCTACGCCGTATACCCCTCCGGCGTTGAGTTCTTGCAGGTGTTCTTGCGGCTCAACAACGGTTCGAACGCCATCACATCAGATCTAAACCCATTCGCACCGGTTCATCCCAGATCCGGACGTTTTCCCATTCCAGATCTGAGAAGAGACCCATCACGAATAGACTAGACGACTAACAATCTTATAGTCTATTTTAATTGACTCTTTGAACCGAAAAGAGAGGGCTTAATCGATTGAGACTCATACAAAATAGACTTTGAAAAGTGACAATTCAACCTTGCATTTGATTTCTAAGTATTGAAGATGACACTTCAATGTTAAACTTCTTTTCAAATTGAATATGGTGTTTTCTATTGTGACGATCACGATCCGAATATACTAGACGACTAACAATCTTATAGTCTATTTTAATTGACTCTTTGAACTGAAAGCGGAGGGGTTAATCGATTGAGACTCATACAAAATAGACTTGTTCCGAAAGGTATTGTCTATGTGTTAAACAATTCGTTAATTTACCGTTTATATTTATTCTCTTGTTTTGAAAGGTATTGAGGATGAATCTCTAAACGTGTAGGTGACTAGAATTCTTTAACCGAACGATTACTTGCCGATAATTACATTGTGAAACAAAACGTTTATTCCCGATTCCCTAAGCATCTTTTGCATTTTCCATTTATATTTTTAGTTGCTTTTATATTATTTTTAGTTAATAATCAATCTAAACTATCTTGCTTAGAGTGTTTAGGAGTTATTTTCCATTCTTGTGATTTTGACACCAATTCTAGATTTCGAACCGTCTTCCTCGAGAGATCGACTCGGGAAACGAATCATTTGATTCGGTGCTCGGTAAAACAAAAATAATTTGCTACAACAGCGGACAACATGAGACACTGCATAAAATTCAACATCATAAGCACTGTAGCGAAGGCAAGGTCCAGATAACTTCTCGCTGAAAAAAAGCGACGGGCTGTTCATCCTAACTCAAAACGGCCCCAATCCCGACCTTTAAAGCATCGGAAGAAAGCTCAAAAAGTCTAGAAAACTGGGAAGAACCAAAATTGATGCGATCGTCAGTTTGCTCTTGATAAGAGCGAATGCCTCAACGACCTATAGAATTCACACGAACAACGTGCCGATAAGACAATTCGTTATCGGTGCGGTAATAGAACTGAAATGAGATATATACTTCCGATAAAAGGATGCGAGACCATGAAAACTTTGAGCCTCCATAAAAGACGCTGCAGTCGGCAAATCACGTATAGCAACGACCTTGCCGTCATCGACTCGTATACCCTTCGCTGAGATAAAAAAAACCCCAAGAAAAGAACATAGGGTACCACAATGAAACACTTACGTTGGGTCGCCTAGAATGATTCCACCTACAGAATGAGAAGGACTGACCGCACATGATCCAGATTCTAAAAGAGTATTTCGTTAAAATAAGCTACGACACACCACCCAATGAGGTCACGTAGCGCTTGGTTCAGCACACGTATGAAAGTGTTGGGTTCATTGGAGAAGTCAAACGGCATAACTATCCACTTGAAAAGACCCTCCCAAATTTTGAAAGTTGTCTTCCAATTATCCCCCAACCTGATGCGGATCTGATGGTAACCACTACGGAGTCGAGTTTAGTCGAGACAGAAGTTCCATGTTATTGGTACATAGATCGTCGAGACACGAAAGTGGGAACCGGTAATGTATGGTAATCTTGTTAATCGCCCTTCTATCGACACACATTCGCTATGCAATATTCTTCTGCGGGATGTGTAAAACAGGTACGGCGCATGGGCGCAAACTGCACCAAACGACACCAAGTTGCAAAAAGGATTCCATCTAGTGTCGCAACTCCTCGTGCTCCGCCGTACCCATGCGATAACATGGTTTGTTTGGCAGTGAAGCTCCCGACACCAAATCAATGTGGTGTTGAATGTCGCGAAGCGGAGGAAGACTAGATGGTAGTTCGTCTGGAAAGACGGCTACGAACTCTTCAAGTAAGGGACGAATAATCGGTGGGGTGGAATGGTCGATACCAACATCGGAACCCTAAAAAAGTATAAAAAAAGGCACCTCGCGCATCTCGCTGACAAAAGCTGTGCGAGAGAGACAAAGAATTGGTGAATGATCGGTGCTAACCAACGAGTGAGGAGGACACGACTAAAGCACAAGTCGAACCCCCTTAAACGTGAAATTATACGTGTTGAGATGACCATCATGAACCACCGACCGATCAAACTGCCATGGACGACCCAACAAAAGATGGCACACGCCTCATGGTATCAACATCACACCATTCTTTATCCCGATATGTGTAGACGATAGAGAAATTCACCAAAACCTGTCGGTCGACAGTGATAGAGTTTCCTCGTTGGATCCAGGCAAAAGTATAAGGATGGTGATGCGGCTCTGTCGATAAACAAAGTCTCTCTATGGCGTCCTGGGCTACGACGTTCTTACATGAACAAGAATCGATATTGAACCGACACATGTGACCATCCATAGTGCATGTGGACTAAAAAATGTGGTGCCGCTATATAGACTCCTCGAATGACACCCGTAGTGATAAATATGATTGTCGAAGAACCAAAGCATGGCCCACTTCTCCACATAGGTGCTCCTTCACTGGCACGGGTACGTCATCATAAATCGAAGGGGCATCATACAAAATCGTGACCCTCGGAATCCGCTAAGCCAATAATGTGCGAAAGTCACCATGCTGTGGGCAAGCCATCTACATGTGTCCCGCCTCGCCACACGTGAAACAACGAAAGGCCATCTCTGGTCGCGACCCTGCGCCATAGCCGGCGCGGTAACCCCGCCCATAGTCTAAGTCGAACCGCCAAATGCTGCACCGCCTCACCCCATCTTGCTACCGCGATCGTTCTGAGGCCCCGCTGCAGCCGATGGACAGCCAGTCGCTGCTGCTGAACATGAAGGTGTTTGTGTTGTGGCTGAAATCCCCTCGACGACGAACGTCGTGCAAGTTGTTGCTCCACGAGCAACGCACATTGATGGGTGTCCAAAACAGTGTCCGACGAGAATAGATTCAATATATCCCTAATCGCCATTCACAATCCTCCATTATAGCGGGACACTAAATGATCTTTAGACTCCCGGACAAAAACTCGGTTAAGAAAAAAATAAATATCATCTGTGTAGTAATAAATAGATCTCACACTTTGTCGTAAATTTTGAAGTTGTTGATACATAGTATGAATGAAATTAAGTGGGAGAAACTCATGTTCGATGTGTTTGCGAAACTTTTCCCATGAAGTTATCTTCAACTTCCCGAGACGCCATCATGTTTTTTTTGTTTTTTTTTTCTGCCACCATGCGGCGGCTCGACCACGCAGACGTGTGGCGATGAGGCTTACCCGATGATTGTCCAGCACCTCCTCGTACTTGAGGATTGAATCCACAGAGACCATCCGTTCAAGGAACTCGGCTGCATCGAGTTCGCTCGAGAACTCTTCGATGTCGACAAGGAAGGCGGCCTCCAAACGTGTTTCACCAATCATGTCTTTCTTGTGTGGATCCCGACGAACATCAAATGGATTATCCTCTGACATGTCTTCTTCCTCGTCGTTCTCGCCATCGCCGATCGAAGGTGGTGAACATAGGATGGGCACCCTGAAGAAACCCCGTCCGCCTCGACCCCTATGCAATCCCCCACGACCGCCGCCTCTGCCGTCTACATCGCGGTTCTCGTGCTCGCCGTGCAACCCGGTATTGAAGGCCCACGTCATCTCCTCTATCCTAGACCTGAGATCTGCCATGAGGCGGTCAGACGGATCGGCTTGGCACATCAGGGCATCGATGGCGGTGTCTCATCTATCTTCGGCATTGTTACGTCATGGAGGCATCGCGGATCGTAGCTGGTCTCTGGATCCTAACTGATGTAGCTCAGCATACGAATGAGGGAAAAGAGAAAAAATCTGAAGTAAATATTTTTATTATTCAACAAGTCTATTCGTTCCAACAAAAGAGAAGGAATAAATAAGCTCCTAATAGACTCCTAATCTATCAAATTCCTAACTTGCTAAACAAGTCTTCATTCGAAAAGATAAATATTTTCCTAACAACTTAATAAGATAACTAAGGAAAGATGATAATAATAATAATCATGCAAGTAAATAATTATTTTAAAGGCGAGATTCCGTCCTATTTCTCCAATAAAGCTATCACGAGCTCATCCTCATCAATACTTCTCCTAATGTTCTTGCAAATTTCTCCAACCTTGCTCCAACTTCACCGACATCACCTTCACCAACGACGCTCACGTCAAGGTGTTGGTCCTCTGCCTCGAGAACGAGTTCTCGATCAGTCACACCTTCTACCAAAACATGAAAAGTTGTATTTAATATTTTATGAGCTTGGGTTGTAAAAAGTTGATCGATTTGAGCTTTTTGTGTGTTGCTGGTTCAATTTCAGTTGAATTAAGACATGAAGTTCTTGATCCGATGTTGATGTTGCATTTGAGTATAGTTGTCTTGTTGCTGAAGATAAATTGAAAATAGTGAATGGGGTTTGAAAAAAAAAATCATAAAAAACTTGTGTGTTTTTTTCTCACCACCATCAACTGTCGTGTACATGTTTAACTTACGTATATTTTGTGTAAAATTTTACATGGAACACCTACTTCCTATTGTATAAATAATATTACATAAGAATTACTACATTGAGGTTTATTAATATAGCTATATGTGGCATTTAATTAAGAGGAAACAAATGAGTATTCATATCCCTTGGATGGAACTGTTCTATTTAAATAAAGTAAATGTTGTGTTGACGTAATTGTATGGTAAAATATATGTTAAGCATATGATAAAGTGAATGTTTAACAAAATTATATCCTAAAGAATATGTTTGCTAACGTATAAACAACATTATATATTGCGTATATATTACATGGAACCTACAAATCAACAAATCGATTCAACAACACACAATAAACTGAAATCTTCAACTTTTAACAACCCAAGCTCATAACAAATCAACAAAAACCTTATTCAAACCCAAGACTCAAAATTTAGCATCAGTTATTTAAGAAACAACAATCCTACATTTCACTGGGCATAAAAACATAAAAAAGTAACATAAAATAAAAAAAACAATATAAAAAAACTAACCTAGGGTGAGGCCCGACATTCGCCTCGTTACCATAATCACCGCCTCGTTAAACAGTAGCCCCCTCGGAGAATGTTTCCTCGATGAGTGCAACGAATAAATCTCGACATTGGTCAAGTTCGACGGCCAGGGGACCAACAAGAGTCCAGAGTTCGGCCCGCTACGAGAAGATGAAACTTGCATAGAGATTTGGGAGAAATTATGGAAAATAATGATTCACATGACCAAGATATTTGGTAACTGATTAGGGTTGTAATTGCATCATTTAGGATATCTTAACGACGACAACTTATTTACAATGGATGACAAGATCCATAAACATGAAAATATATTTTCACAAAGTCCACAACTGATAGAAGATTATGGGCCGACGAAAAACATGAATGTTAGCATAATAATCTCACTTAATTAATGCATTTTCCCCTCAGCACATCCGCCCGCAGTTTAATCGGTTAACCACTCCGTCGCATCCCCAATCAAACCCGTACTTTGCACCATCTCACAAACCTTAACCCTAACCCTAACCCCAATCTCAAATTTGTCCTCTTCAATCCCCACAAGATATTCCTCAACGACGTTTTCATATCCGTTCTTCCGTTCGACGGCCGGCAGCGCATCACACCGGAAAAAAATTTCTACTTTGACCATCCCGAGTCCGAGCCGTCGTGCCCCTTCGGCATTATTGACATCGATAGAGACTTAACCCCGTCGGCTCCCGATTATGGGACTCAACACATCTGTGGTTATGGTCGGCCCAGCAGCTGCCATGGGTTGATCTGTATGCAGGATAGTGCAAATTATTTCGAGGACTCGAACACAGTTGTGGTGTTAAACCCATTAATTAATGAGTTCAAATCCATCGACTGCTACCCCATCAGATGTCTCCTCTCTGACGCCAGTTGTACTAGCTTAGTTTGTGCTGGGTTCGGATTCGACCCCGTATCTAAAGACTATAAGGTATTGATGGATGTCGACAACAGCTTCAGCACTGAATATAATCCCGACGATCCCCGTTATGTGGTGTGCTCCCTGAAGACTGGTTCTTGGCGTCCTGTATCTAATTATCCTCAACCTCCGTTAGATGATACGCCCAGGTGGTACTCAATAGAACGCAACTCTATTTACATAGATGGGATTAGTTATTCGCTTGCATGTGACAACAATTTAAGGAGTCTTTTCGGCATAGTTTCCTTCAACTTTGCCACTGAAGAATTCTCGTGGTCCCGATGGCGACATGTAAACGACGAGTGTTTTTGGCCTAATGGGTACTGCCTGGTAGAATATGAGGGGTTGCTCGGTTGTGTTCTTTTTCATGATGTGGAAGGCATGACGAAATTCCATTTGTTGGTTAGAGAGAATGAGTCGTGGGCTCAGGTAACCAGCTTCCGTGTTCCCGGAGCAGATAGACCCGTGGCGTGCTTGGGTAAAGACAAGTGGTTTTTCAGAGGAAAAAAGAACGAGCTGCTGTTTTTTGATCCCACTGCCGTGGACCCAAAGCCTGTCTGCATTTATGACTTGCACCAGTATGCAGAAATTATTCCGTTTGTGGAAAGCACAATCTGGCCCTATGCTACAAGGAATAAGCCCGATGACGGGCAGTCTTGTGCTAATTAAGAACGATACTGATGTGCGGTTTCATTAGACCTTTTATCTATCTGCTTTTTTCTCCTAATAAAATTATGATGCAATTTCAAAAAATTAGAATGTTTTAAGTTTTAACTCGATATTCTAAAAGCGATTCAGAGTTGATGTATTGGTCTCATTGAGCTTTGCAGGGAGGCTTTTGATCACGCTGTAGAATATTGCTGATATATTTAAATAATTGATTGATATAACAAATGACAGAAATGTGTTTAAATCATAATTTACTTCATTTCTGCAGATTACGGCCGGACCGTCTTGTCGAGTCAGATGGACTAGTGTAAGGAGAGTTTTGTGTCTTTAACTTCTATCTATTACTTTGTTCTGACTTCTGAGAAATACCACAACATGTATTTTCGTTAACATCAAGGTTTTGATCCAATCCAACCATTTTCGTTTGTATTCTCCGGTGATCATGTGCTGGTGGACTCGGTCACTGGTAGTAAGCACTATTGTCGACCTCAACAAATTTATTAGTTATATCAAAGCTTGGTTTTTAAGATTGACCATCTTATCTAAGAAGTCATTAATGCTACCATCTGGTCAGGTCAAATACTAAAGTTGTAGCATTTTTTTCATTTTCTTTTTTTCAATTGAAGAAATGGTTCAGTATTTTGCTGAGTTCATCAGCTAAAATTGCGACTTTTGTTCGCTGGCTGGATCAGTTAGGAACTCAAGTTTATGACCTCGAAGACCTGATTATCATGGGGTGAAACTCTGTGACTGAATCGGTGATGTGCAAAACAAGCGTCGGGAGAAGTTTTTGCCATTAGCACTCCAACGATCAAGTTAGTGATATGCGAAACGAGCCCAACAGTCCTTCAACTACTGCGACCATGTCCATCTTCTCTAGTCGACCTAATTATTGAAAGTTCCATTCATGAACGAGTCGACAATGTACAAACTTCCAACAACCATAAGCACACCAATGAAGAATTTATCAATGGCTAGCTTCTATCATCCTTCTCCTTTCACACACTATTTGTCAATGGTGGTGTGCTAAAGCTTGTCAATGGTAGGGTGCTATCTTACCTATAAATAAGCTTCTTATTTCATTCATTCAAATCATCCTAGAGTGTGATCAATCAACCTTGAGAGTGTTCAACACAACCAAGTAGAGTTGTGGAGAGTTTGTAAATCTCTTGTTTTTATTCTTGTGAGTAATAGAACCTTATTTTTTCTCTCAATTATAATTATGATCTTGGGATGATACCACAACAAGTGGTATCAGAGCTTGGTTTGAAGCTTTCGAGCTTAATTTTGAAATTTTTCGAGGTTCTGTAGAAATTTCGAGTTTCTGATTTGTGCTCGAAACTCAATTTCAAGGACACCGTTAGATTCGTCTCGTCGAGACGGTCGCAGTGATATCTTACGGGC